GAAATGGGGAGACCTTGAGTTCTAGTCCCGCCTAGGCACAAAGCCAGTTGGGTGACCTTGGACCAGTCACTTTCTCTCAGCCCTAGGAAGAAGTCAATGGCAAACCACTTCTGAAAACCTTGCCAAGAAAACTGCAGGGACTTGTCCAGACAGTCTCTGAGAATAGGACATGATTGAATGGATTAAAAAAAAATGCATCCATACCTTTTAATTAGTTTGCATCATTAACAAAAATTGAATACATATAAAAAACTGTGTATCAAAAATGGTAATTGGAATTTCCATTCTTTTTTCAGCCAACACTTGTATATTGCTCTTAGCTCAAAAATGATAAATGAATCAGCCCTTTTCATACTAGAAGAGTTCAACAACTTCAATATTCCATGCCTGAAATATCACCATGGGTTTTTCCAGCTAACAAGTGGAATATATGCTGGATTTAATCTTATGCAATACAAGCCTCCACCTTCTTAATTAATCAGCTTGAGAAAAGTTCCTCCTCCCAAATAGAGGGATTGGGTGCTCCTTCCTGTTGTGTGGCTATGCACTCTCCCATTTAGTTCTGAATGAGATGGATTGACAGGCTTTTCTCCTTCAGCTAAGAAATTATAAAATTCTTAATCCAAAACATCTGCAAGTACCAGATTGTTTACCTTTACGCTATACCATATAGCAATGGATGTTGGAAAACACTGACCTGAAACTCTCTAATTCTATCTTTCACAATATACCACAGATGATACGTAAATTATAATCTTTTTATTATTTGATGACTTAATCTACAGCTAGTCCTTGAGTTATGACAGCAATTGGGACTGGAACTTCTATCATTAAGCGATGTGGTCGTAAAGTGCAATGTCATGTGACCACATCGTTTAGTGATGGCAATGCCAGCACATCCAGTTGCCATTGTTAACCGAATCCCACCAGTCATTAACCAAGGCTAGCTTGATCCAAGAGATTCCTGGCTTGCACTTTCCCAGCCCCGAGCCTCGGTTCTTCCAAGGTAAGGGACTGCCTCCTCTTCAACTCCCCCCAACTGTCTATCCCCTCCACCATCTCTGCCCATTTGGCCACCCTGGACCCTGCCTTGCAGGGTGGCAAGCAGCCCCAGAACCATGCAGCTCTGGGACTGCTTGCTGCACTGCGGCTCAGGGCTTCTTGGTGCACTGCGGCTCTGGGACTGCAAGAAGCCCCTGAGCCACAGTGCAGCAAAAAGCCCCCACCCCCCCAGCCCAGCAGAGCAAAGCTGCAGCCACTCTGCAGCTGCCCCAGCCCA